ATTACGTTTAATCAAATTTTATATTTTTATTTTGAATTTAATAATTTTTTATAATTAATGATTGACTAATTATTATTAATAAAAATATCAATTGTCGTTTTATATTTACATGATAGAGGTGGTGAAAAATACCACACGATCAAATTATTATCCAAAATTAACATGTTATATTATTATCAATTATGATATGTTAATATATTATATTATAATCAATTATGAGATTTTAGCATGTCACATTAACGTCACTCAATTAAAGTAATAAATGACATTTTAACTAAATCAATTTTTAATTATAAAAACTTATTTGACTCAAAATAAAAAGTATAAAGATTTATTTGATTCTAAAAAAATACAAGAGTTTAATTGAACATAAAAAAAAGTATAAATGTTTATTTGATTTTTCTTGAATAATTTAAAAGTTTTTTTGTATGTTATGTAAAAAAATTATAAAATGTTAAAATTTTTAGAGGTATGAGAACCCTTATTAGTCCCCTCCCTCCACCTCTGCTCTAACATGAATCATGTAACAAATATATATATATATGTATATTAAAATTTCTCTAAGTAAATATCTAGTACAATTGATAGTTGAATTTAATGAGAATTGATTGGTCTGTCAATTTTATATTTTTATTTTATTATTTTTGTGATATTTTATCCCGTGTAAGATGTGAATGAAATTATTAAGATTTATATTAAAGTTTTCAGTCAATTACAATTAATAATTTAAACTTAAATTTTTGATAACTATATGATTTAGGCTTGAAAATAACTAAAAGAAGTAGCGTTTGAATCTAAATCACTGCAATTTTAATACCTTGAAAGGGAAAAGACAATTCCAAGAAAAAGGCCAAGCAACCAATGGTTTTGGATCTTGTTTTCATCAATCAAAATGGGTGATTCGATTGAAATGCAAGCATAGCCATAGAAAATTACAATGTAGATAATGGGAAGCCAAAACTTCTCACAGGTTTGGCAATTGATGAAGCCTTTCTGGTGATAAGACAAAGACAAATAGCTAGCCAGAATCTTTTGATTCACGCCTTGACAACTAGCGAGGGTTGCCGTCAACGTTAGGTCCAACCTTGCTTATGTCTCACTCTGTACGTGTATTTATAAATGCAAAATGGACAAGAAAATTGGACTTAGTCTTGTCTGCCATCACAATTACAGGAACAGAAAAGATCCTTTTATCATCGTCATCATCAGTATCGTAGATTATGTATATAACTCTAGCCTATTTAACAAATCTACTTTTAAGAAAAAAAAAATCACAAAATAATTACACCTTACTTACAGAGTAGCAAGTGTCAACCATGTAACTTTCTTTGCCTAATAAAGCCAAGACATTAAACTCAATATTTATGTTTGAATTTGATGAAATTTTTTTCATATAATGTTTAAAAAACTTTAAATTTTTTTAAAATTTTTAATAAATTTTTATTTTTAAATAAAATATTATTTATTATTTTATTTTATGTGACATTTTATAAACTATGATGACTTTACATACTAATATGACATGAAGATATGATCATACATATTAACATCACATCAATACAAGAATAATATAAAATAATAAATGATACTATTTATCTCAAATTTACTTTAAAAAAAGTATAACTACTTAATTAAATAAAATAAAAACTTATTCCAATTTTTTAAAACAAATTTTAAAATATTTCTTTGAATGTTATATAAATTGACAACATCAAATATATTATTATTAAAAAAAATAAAATTTCATCCTTCTCGTAAATCTTGTTGTCTCCAATGATTCAATGATCCATTGCATCACGGTTGCCCATTATTACCTTAATTAAATTGGAAGAGAGGTTAGGAACCAAATCATATTGTTAATTGTGATTGAATATGACAGATTCCTGCTAGTCATGCCTACAAGTCACACCTAACATCCCATTATTTCTTTAAGTCACATAATCCAATCTTAATTTGGTACCTGCTTTGGGTTCATAGTTTTTTTCACCAAAGTTGTCTTTAATTGCAATATCCTCCCCAATTTTATTTATTTTTTCAAAAAAGGCAAATGAAAATAGTATACATCATCCAATGGTTATCAAATCCAACTCATTTGCTAACATTCAATCCTGTTAGGCCGTTTGAACTATTATTTTTTTTCTAATTAAGTTCTTAATTTTATACCATATTCAAATGAGTCTGCAATATTCTTAAAAATATTTTTACCTTTCAACTTTATTATTTTATTAAAAATATTTTATAATGTTATAATTAAAATAAAAATATTAAAATAAAATAAAATAAAATAAAAATAAAAAATTTAAATAATATAAGTAAAATAAATTGAAATAAAATATATAATGTAAAAAATATATTAAAAATAAAAATAAAATATATAAAATTATAATAATAAATAAAAATATATTTAAGAGATAATATTATATAAAAATTAATAATAAAAAATATAAATATATTAAACTTGTATTTTAATAACTATAGGTAATTTTAAAAATTAACATTACATTCTCAATACTGTAAACCAAACGCTACAATATTATCTTTTTTACATTTTAATCATTATTTTATTTATATATTAAACATTGTAATTTTATTTTTCCTGTAATGATATTGTTTGCAATCATATTACCTGTAATCACATTGTATTGTACAGTACCAAACGTCATTAAAATACTTAGTAGTACTGAATTTTAAAATAATTAATTTTACGTTAAGATAAGGACTTATTTAAATAAAAATTAAAATTTAAAAACTTATCGTGAAGGAGGTTATGATGTAATAAAAAATAAATTTTTCGGCGGCTATGTATATTTTATCAATTAGATGCGTTCAAAGTAAAAATAAGGAAAAGAATGGCGTCTTGCGTTACCAACCTCTTGTGATTTAGTCAAAGAATTATAAAATAATATGCACTTTGCGATCCATTACTCTTTTTTTTTCAAATAAAATGCACATAAAATATTTTTGTGGTAAATATTGTTTTTTTTTAAATACTTTTTAGTTTTCTTGGAATCCAAGTTGCATCTTTTGTCTGGAGTCAATGAAAATGATTTTAGATGTAAAATTTAGTACTTTTTTTAGACTTCACATTCGATTTGAATTCTTAGGTTGAACTATGTAATGATTACATCATAAAAAAAATTAACAATAATAAAAATAGGGAAAAACTTACTTCAAAAAAGGAAAAAAAATTGGGGTGGACTTTGAAATAAAGGAAATAAATCTCCAAAGACAATTGCTCTTTAATTATATTAGCATCTAAATATTATTACTTTGGGGCAATTTCATCTGCATTTTTGTGATTTTAATTTTTTTTTACCATGACATCTTGTGATTTTTTTTTTCAATTAATATCTTATAAATATCTTTTTTTGTCAATTAACTCTTTGTAGATGAGTTCGATTCTCACAAAAAATTAAATTGTTATTTTCATTCAATAAAATTTTTAAAACAATCATATTTTTTGTTCTCACAAGTTAATTTTACATGTGTATTATTACGTTACGTATTGAAAAAATCATTATCAATAGTAGACATAGGCCAATCTCGACCTGCTTTCTCTCAAGAAAATTTTTCATATAAAAAATAAAAATCTCACATTTTTTTCTAATTATTTATGCTATTAATTTCAAATTTATGAAGACTTTTTTGCTATTTATGAGATACTCTAATCAATTTCCTTTCCTAAACTATTGTATTAACATATTAAAAACCTATTTCAATAGCCAAAATTTACAAAATCTCAAAATTAAACATTAATTTTATTATTGTAACTTGAATTGAACCATACATTTTGGACCTTGACGAGACTATGACCGTAGGAAAAGCTATACTCATATTATAAAATGACAAAAATACCCTTTCAACGCGACTAAATAAAAAACAAAATGATGGTATGTCCAATGTCTTCAATTGTCCAAAAGCTCAAAACAGTGGACTTTCCGCTTTATAAATTATTGACTAATAATTACGCAATTTTTCCCGTCGCCTGAAATTCATCACTCTAAACCTTCGTAAGCGGTGACGCAGATCCTTCGTCGCCAGAAGCTCTTTTTTGTTTTTTTGTTTTCCTTAAATATTCATAAACATATTTGTTCGTAGTACTACCGAGTAACGACGTTGTGTCTTCGTGTGACAGAGAATCCGATTCTCCTCTCGAATCC